TTCTGTCCTCGCCCCTGATCACACCGTGAGTACTCCCGCAAGCCTGGTTGCTGAGCTCTGCACCTGGCGACATTGCCGGGGCCCCAAGGAAGCTTGCAGGTCACTGGGGCAGGCGAACCTGACGGAGCACCGTGAAGGGCCATGATAGAGGACTGCACAGATGGCTGTAGGGGGGCACATCAGCAGCATGTGCGTTCCCTCCCGGCACCGTTCCTGGGATGGGCTGCCAGGAGGAGGTTGTCCATGTACTGCAAAATCGTCAGGTCCATCCGTCCTTAGCGAGGGATCTCCTGCTAGGGCTTCTCAAACAGGGCTGGGGTGTTCTTAAACACCTGGGACAGTTTAGTCAACTGAGTCTTGACCGCTGTGTGCGGAAAATGGGTTGGCTGGAAGGTGCCACAGGAATGCAGGAGAAGGCATCCTTCAGATTAAGGCAGGTAAACCACGTTGCTGTTGGGGGAAGCTGGCTCGGGAGGGTGTAGGGGTTCAGGACCACTGGGTGGTGGCTGTTGGCTGCTTCGTAGACAGCCCACAGATCCTGGACAGGCTAGTACCTGCTCCCATCTGGCTGTTATCATGGGTCTGGGCAGGTGTGGCCCCATGTTATGGAGCCAATTTTTCTCCAAGCTCCCACTTGGGGGGACCTGCCTCCCTGTCACATCCTGGGCAGGGGAGTCTTTCTTTATCTCCCTGGCCCAGAGCATGGCCACAACCATTTAGCATATCCAAGTGACCAGCTGAAGGCTATAGGCATGTTAAATGACCATGCCATGGGTCAACTGCAAAACTGGTGCTGTACAAAACAGTCCCGCATATTTTGCTCTGTGTGTCCCTTCTCCAACTTACACCTGTGGGGAAGGGGTGAAGACATCCTAAAATTTCCTGGACACCTTGAATTCTGGACTCCATCCCAAATGCCCATTTGGGGTTCCCCCCCACCCCTTGGCTGCAACTTGTAACAATTTTTCATTTTATATACCCACTTTAAATTCTTTTAAAGGACAATGGACGAAGGTCTCATCTTCTTTTAACTGCTTCCGGCTAGAAACAGACGTTGTTTTACCTACCCGTGGGTCAGGGGTGCCCTGAAAGTGGGTGCAGCACAGAGGGAGTCCTGCCTGTAAAGGGAAGGACCTTACAGAATCCTGGTCAGTTGGCTATTACCAGGAAGTTGCAGGCTCACTGTCCAAAGACTGGCATTACTGGACCGTTGACATCCTGGTTATATTCTGGAAGTGACAGATTTGGAAAGAGTTAGAAGGCACAATTAAATCATAACCATTAAATGACAAAGGCAGGGGCTTAGGTATGGCTTATCTGGAGGAAGGTGTACAAGACATGCTACACCTATCCAAAGCTTTTGTAGTCCATTGTACTTTACTCAGGCTGAGGGATTATATTATGATTTCCTTCCTTTCAGATATCTAAACCTTTCCTGTTCAAGCCACTAAGACAGAAAAGGGAAAATCAGTTTTAAAGTGAAGCCCACAGATCGCCCAAACTCTTACTAACCCAACCACTTAGTTTAGCCAAACCATTGAGCTCCAGGGGGCGACGATGAAAATGGGCTCCTTAAGTGAGGCCTATATTGCAACCGATCACTCAGGCAATGAAGTCATAGGCATACATCCTATGAAAACAGAAGAATACACAGGTTAATTCACACAATAGTCCCAAACCAGTCTCCGTGCCTGTGAGACTGTCTTTTGGGAAGGCATTCAGTTGCAAGTTTTTTTCCTGCAATGACATTCAGCAATGGCAATTTGACAGGTCCTTCATACCTGTAAATTGTAGTTTGATGATATTACAAAAGCAGTTTTAACCTTTAAATGAAAACAAACTTTTAAGACAGTTAGCTGCGTTATTCTGATGTTTAATACTGAGCACAGTGATTTTCCTTGAACCATAATTTTTTTCCTTAAGATCACCCTCACTGTTATTAAAGGGACTACTTTGAGTTCTCTTTTTATTTTGACTGTTCGTTTGCATAAACACACCAAGAGCAGCCTGAATTACTTATGATTCTTGATTCTGCTTTGCTGGAACTCACACAGGGAACCTTCAGATTGACTTTTCAGTCCGCCCCTCAGAGCACAGAAGCAGAGCCGTACATCCGCCATCTGGCTTCGCCTGTACCAGTTGTTTCACTCAGATCCTTGAGTTTTTCATTGTGCTTACAGGTTCCTTTTTGGCCATCTTTCATGAAAGCAACCTTCATTCCTTCCCTGGAAAGACTGCCATGAACTGCACAACCAACCAAAGTACCAGGCTTTTCTCGTGGGCTTACACTAGCTTCACAAGTCAATCCCAGTTCCTCAGGGCTTTCTGGTGACGACCAGAGCCCATACATGCCTCCTTCAGACATGACGTTCCAGTCAAAGTCTTGGTTAACAAAACCACTATATATACATACATATATATATATATACATATATATATATATATACATATATATATATATACATATATATATATATATATATATAAATATTTAAATTATTTACTTTTCTACAGAGTGTGAAGTTTTAACCTTCCCTGGAATCCTTCACTTCCTTTACAGAGCAGATGCAGAGCAAAACCCAAAACACAGAGTTTCCAGAACAGTACACAAGTAGGGGCATTCTCTTGCACAGAGACATGCTCCTTCAGGCCCGGTCTCATGGCAGAGACATGCTGCTTTGCCTCTGGATGAAGCACTTATCAGCCCCAAATGACCCTTCCTGGGTCCCGAGTGGCAAAGGCATCCTCCCCAACCGGTTATAGGCAACCTTAAACAGATTTAAGTACAGAGGGTTTTTGATCAGAAACAACACTGCTCTTTTCCCACAAAACCAGAAAACAAATAGTTGAGGTTTCCTTTACTCCAGGTTTAAAACTTTACATTCTTTATACATAATTTTACTCATTCAGATTTAACTATTATTCTTTTTAATCCTGGTTCCTTTCCCACTCTGGGAAGGACAGCCGAAAGTCCCTGACACTGCAGGCTGCAGTTTTCTGAAGCTCAGACCCTGCAAACACCCTACAGGCCAGATGTTTTCCTTAACTTCAGTACATGTCCTTCAGAGCCATCCTTATCAGAACCAGTTACACAGAGAACCAGACGGATGCAGTCTGGAGAGAGCCTGGCACCTTGCCCAGTTCCAAGATGGAGGGGCTCTCACGTGACCCATTATCCAAGATGATGACAACCATGCACCTCCACCCCGGGGCGGGGGGGGGGGCACTCACGTGGCTTGTCCTCCATTTTACCCAAAATGGCGGTGCACCCACATACATGCAATATAGTACTGTGGCAGAAACCCCCCCCAACCCATGATGAATTCTCCCAACTGACACAGACAAAGGAAAAAGGGGATCTTTCACACGCCCACCGCAGGTGGGGGGCCCAATCAGACTCCGTAAACCTGGCTGGCCCATAGAGTCACAAACACATTCACACAGACAGTCGCACAGACAGCCACACAGAAGTTAGCTGTCCCTCCCCCGAGAAGGAGCCCGATGGTCTGGGTCTAAGCCCAGACCCCTGAATTTTCCGGTCAAGGGGTGATCAGTCTCTCTCAGATTCTTGGGTCAGGTCCCCAGGGCACGTACAGATACCTGATTGGTGCCTCTGACAGTTCGTGGTTCGTCTCTCCCCTCCGCCCGGGTGTTAGAGCAGTCGGGGACACAGCACGGGAGTCTCTGCCCCGGGAAGCCTGGAATCACCAGGGCACGTGCTCCTCCCCTGTGGCAGGACTCCCCTGCCGACTCCCCTGGTCGCCTTCACCGGAGGCAAAATACCTGCTCGTGTGAGGATTTCCCGGCCCATGCACCAAAATGTTGTGGAAAATCCACCCACACGCGGGGAGATAATGAAGCACAAACTTTATTACCCCGGGGGCCCAGAGGGGGTGGCTAACATCCAAATCCTCTGAGCACCGATCCTCACTCTCCCAGGGTTTAAATAGTCTCGGGCTTCCTACCTAGGAGGCGAAGCAAGGTTACAGAAGCCGAAGGCGGAAGTTAGGTCCAGCTACCTTATATGGGAGACAAAGAGAAAACTCAGGAGGAATTTGCAGAAGCTACAGAGCATAGGAGCTTATCTTGGGAGTCAGTGTATGACCTTGAGTAACTGGCAGTTGCTTTGGTTACGACTTGTCAGCTTCTACAGTCCTGTGTGAAATTTTGCAAGTGTTACAGTTATAGAGCATAAGAAACTTTTGGAGTTTTCTTTTCCTGCCACACTACCTCCATATATAAATGGTTAACATTTTCCACTAAGGTGATTTTAAAAGCAAACACATAGCTAGTTATACAAACAAAACAATTTGTACAGCAGATGCTATCTTTTCTAAAACTACCAAACAATATTTCTAGAAATGCACTAGAAAAAGTATGACAACATGGAATGATGTATACCAGCATCAGGACAGTGATTTCCTGTGGGGCGGGAAAAGAAAGATGTTTTAGTGATATGTATTTTAAAGAGGAAAGGAGTGAGGCAAATGTGGGAAAATGTTACCATTTTGTTAATTGGGGGTGAGGGGCGAGGAGGGACATTGTTCATGGGTGTTTGTTATATAACTTTTTGAATGTGTGAAAGCTTTCATAATTTAAATTTTTAACTAAAATTAAGAACATTTGGAAGAAATGAGCATCAATATTAGTTGCTTAAGGATTCTGGAAGTAAGCAGGATCTGTCTATACTTGCTAGATTTTCTATAAGGAACACCTTTGACTTTTCTTTTTTAAAATATGAAACACTTGCCTGAATGATTTAGAAGGAGTAACCAACCAGAGAGTCAGAAGATAACAGGGAGCTGAAGAGAGAAAAATGTAGATTCAATGAGCTCGCCCTGGGCCTGATTTACCTACCTACCTCTGGATGGTAACATAGAAACCTTAATCTAGGCACTGAAAGTGATTTCCAGTTAACAAAGTCACCAATTCAAATCACACTGTTAGTCAGCTATGTGCAGGAGCAGGGGCCTTGGAGGCTGATACCTTACTTGCCACAGATGACCGCGGAACGCCCCGAGACCCAGCTGGAGCCAAACGCTGATTCTAGGATGAAAAGCAAGCCCAGGTGCTGGATGCAGTGTAGGAAGCGCCCCACAGCGCCTCCTCCCAGAGCCCAGTGTCAATTGCGCTGGCGGGGCAACACCGGAAGGTGCGCTGGCTGGAAACCACAAAAGCCGGGCGCAGGCTTCACCCTTTTTGTAGTCCCACAAGCGCGAACTCGTCTTGTCCCAGGGCTGCTGCTCCTAGCATGGCGAGCCAGCCAGGCGCTGCGGTCCAGGGCGATCAGTGGACGTCCTCCCAGTCCCTGGACGGGCTGGGGATGCCGCCTTCCCTACCGCGGATTCGTACCCGGCCGTGGTGGTTTCCTGTGCAGGAACTGAGAGACCCATTGGTGTTTTACCTGGAGGCATGGTTGGCTGACTCTATCTTTGGTGAGCAACCCCAGGCATGCGGGTGGCCTGGCCCCTCCAGTCATAGAGGGGCCTGGTGGGGCAGCGCTCCAAGGTCTTTCCCAAATTCCCCGGCCACATTTGACACCATGATTCCAGCTTCCAGCTCTTCCCTTCCCCGGACCACATTCCCTTCAAATCTAGGCCCTCTTGACCTTGGACCTTGCCGCTCCCCAGAGTCTGTTTTCCTGTTTAGGCCCAGACCGAGCCACAATTCCTGAATTGGAGTGGATGAACCAGGTCCTGCTGACGGTGGACATAGTAAACTCTGGGAGCTTAGTAGAAATCACCGTTTTCGGACAGCCCCGTGTACAAAATCGCATGAAGAGCCTGCTCCTGAACTTGGCGTCAGGGTACCGAGAACATCGTGCCCGAGGTGAGGGTCTTTGAAACCTGCATGTGGAGCGGGAGCCAGGGCGAACCACCTGGCCATATCTGGCTACCTTCCAGCCTCTCTTACCTTCCCAGTGATTTTTGCAGTTTCCCAGCTCCAATATACTGCACACAGCCCCTGGGCATCCTTTAGTGAGGAGTCCAAGCAGGACCTTGGAGTAAGCTTGAGTTCTGAGGCTTCGGGCCCATGACTGCCCGTGCCAGCCTCCCTTCGGTTACACCACCATTTACAGACCCAAGTTCAGAATCCCCACCGGGAGAGATGATGTTGCCAGCACCACTCCACCACTCTTCCTGCTCCCTTCCCTGCGCCCACCCCCACCCCCACCCCTGCGCCCACCCCCACCCCCACCCCCACCCCCGCAATGATCGAGTAATTTTGAAACAATGAGCATTTTTGCTTATCCAGAGGAGAAGATGAAACAACTTGAGCAGTTTTTGAAGGCACGTGCGTCAGATCCCCAGACTCCCCAGCTTCCTGTTGGATAAGTACTGTCAGGAGCGTTAGGGGAACAGACCTGCTTCTGCTACTGAAGTTCAACAGAAGCAAGTATCCTTACATCTCAGCGTTCTTTTTCCTTTTACTTGATGGATAGTGGTTTGATTATTTTGATGCAAATGTGAATGCTGCTGTAGTAAACAAATGAATTCCCCCTTTTGTTCGATGGCACAAAGTACTTTGCTCACTTAAAATTAAACAAATTTACAAAGGATTGACTGTCCATGCATGTCTTGGTGTGTGGGGTAGGTAAAAGGCCTGATGGGTAGTGGTTTTATTTTTGTTTCTTAGTTTCTACCACTTTGAAACTACCAACCTTTTATAATTTTATGGTCAGAGTCAGGCCCTCATACACAGGAGGCAGATCTGCAGGGTCAGTATGGTTTGAGTTCTTCTTTGTTTGTTTTGCATCATTTGTTCTCAAACTTGAATGTGTGTAACAATCACCTTGAGAGCTTTCCAAAACAGTTTAAGGCTCCTCAAGTGATTCTACTGGAGGAAATTGAGCCTGCGAATTTGCATTTCTAATAAGCTCATAGGTAATTCCAGTGATTCTGCCCTGAGGCTCACACTTTGAAGCTGCTGCTGGTGTGGCCCCTGAGTAGCACCAAGTGTGCTTTTGCATGGAGTGGAGCCTCCCTCTGGGCGAGTAGGCGTGAGTTCCCACAGGAAAGCTGAGGCCATTTGCCTATCTTTCTGTTGGCGCTGGATTCACTAGAGAAGAGGATCCTGGGCAGCTCCACCAACAGAAAGTGTTCTGTTCCCCCTCCTCCCCAGATCTGCACAGGTGTCCTGCACTGGCTGGTTTGTTTTTCCATTACCAGTGACAATGCTATGACCAGTTTGCACAAAACAGCCCAAACCCCTTGCCATCTCTGCTTTCTTTACTTTCAGAAGCAGAACTTTTGTGGGGAGTGGTTGTCAAAAGCATTGTGACTTCAGACACAAAGTTAGAGTTGATTTAACTCATGCTGTTTCTTTACCCCTTAACAGTAAAGGATTTTAGCTGTTTGCAAGGGTTTTGTAACACACACACACATCTTTTAAAATATGCTTCTTTGGTTACAAGTGATAATGATCATGTTCCTACTTTGCTCCACATTTTTGTAAAATGCCTTTACATTTTTCTTTATTCATTCCTATCATTACTTCTTTACAGCTCTGAATATGAGGGGTTTTATTTCCTGTATAAGCTTTTGTAACAAATAATGGTCCATTAAAAGTAATATTTTCTACTCTTTGGTTCTAAGTTTCTTGCATATGACAAATTATTGTATGCAGTTAAACTACTCATTGGTTTGTGTGATTTTTCCCTCCTCCTCATCCCTTACTTTCAAATTTAGGAACTCCTGCTTCCTCTCATTCTGTAGAAATTTGAAAAATAATCTTGAAGGTTTTTCCTAGTGGGATTTCTACAAAACCATTGAACATTTGAGACTGTATTTGGTGGAAGAGGGTTGTGCTTATAATTCATTCCAATTTTCCCCAAATTATTCAAAATTAAATTACTAAATGATCCTGTACTCCTTAGCTCCATTATATCAGGATATAAGGGTACTGAGTTGGCCAAAAAGTCCATTGGTTTTTCCCCCCCTTAAATAAAAGACACATTTTTCATTTTCACCAATAACTTTATCGACTTGGATATTTTGAGTATGTCAGCTATCTCCTGCTTTTGGCTTCTAGTGGGAAGAGGCCAGGGTGCTGCTAAACATCTTCCAATGCACACGACGGCCCCACAGCAAAGAATCATTTGGCCAAATAGTACCAAGAAACTGTGATATCAAACAAATCACTTTTGATATGTTTGATCAGTCACAGCACCTTCTCCATACACTGCCCTTTTTTTTCTTTGCATTTCAGTTGTTTTTACCTTGCTTGAAATAATAAAGCATAATAGGCTGAAAATGTTACATATCTTCTCCCATCTTCAATATTAAAATGGCTTCACAAAAATTCACCAATTTTGATGGGTTTTTGTTAATGCATGTTGATATTAAAGCTCACAATATAATCTAACAAAATTTCGAATGAAGTTAAAGACAGTGAAACACTTACTAGAGTCATCATACAGAAAAAATGTAACGGACTTTTTCGCCAACCCAGTATTTGGAGATAGGGCCTTTAAAGAGGTAATTAAGGTAAAATGAGGGTTTATGGGTGGGACTTTTCCTAGTATGTCTTTATAAGAAAAGGAAATGTGAACAGAGGTAGGTGGAGCACAGAGGAAAGACCATGTGAGGACACAACAAGAAGGCAGCCATCTGCAGCTAAGGAGAGGCCTCAGAAGAAACCAAACCTGGTAACATATTGACCTTGGATTTCAAGCCTTCTGAACTCTGAGAAAAATATCTGTTGTTTAAGCCACCAGTCTGTTATTTTATAACAGCGCTTTTGCAAACTATTACAACATCTAATATGGTTTTTCTGTGTTCCCTTTCATCCGTGTGCTAATACAGTATTTTTACTACCTTCATAATGTTTTAATATCTAAAAAAGTATACTTTCTCTGTCATTCTATTAGAATTTGGGGGTAATATTAGCTATATATTTTTTCCTTTTTTAATTTTAATTGTTCAAATACAGTTTTCTGCCCTTTACCCCTATCCCATCCCACCACACCCCCCAGCCCTCTCCACCTCCCTCCCTTCTCCACTATTTATTTTTTAGAGAGGGAAAGGGAGAGGCAAAGAGGGAGAGAAACATCAATGTGTGGTTGCCCCCTACTGGAGACCTGGCCTGCAACCCAGGCATGTGCTCTACACTGGGAATTAACCAGTGACCCTGGTTTGCAGGCCTGTGCTCAAGCCACTGAGCCACACCAGCCAGGGCTATATGTTTATTTGAACTTGTATCACATACCAGGCCCTGTGCCAAGCACCTAAGCAGGATTCTTGGAGCAAAAGTGAACTTGCTAATGTCACAGAGCTAGGATGTGGGGAGGTCTGAAATTTGAACCAAAACATTGATTCTAGGATCCAAATTTCTTACCTCTAAACTATACTTTTCCACTTGCTTTTCTTTTTCTGTGCAGCTAAATTCAGATTTATTTCTTATTTTGACTTCTTTTTAAGAGGAATAAGAATAAACCTCTTAATTTGTGAAAAATCCACAGTAATTTGAGGAATAAGACAGTGTTTTTTTCTAACAAGTTGCTAAAGTAAAACATATTTACTTGTACCACATTCAAAATAAAAATAGCATTATTGATCTTTCTGAGGATAAGCAGACATGTTCAATGTTTTTTAAAAAATCAGGCAATGTAAAGCCAGTCAATGAGTCCGCTTACCAGAATGGATTTCCTCAGAAATTTAGAGAAATCTGGCAATTATAGGAAAGCCATGTTATGAACCTTATAGACATTGAACTCAATAAGGTTCTTAAAAATGGCTATAAGAAAAGGAGGGAAAGAGAAAAGGAGATTGGGATGTGGAGGGAGACACCACACAGGTGCAGCACACGGAGATGACCATGTGAACAGGGTGTGAAGGCAGCTGTCTGCAAGCCGAGGAGAGAGGCCTCAGGAGGAGCCAAGCCTGTCAGCACTTGTATCTTGGGCTTCTAGCCATTGGAACTGTGAGAAAATAAATTTGTTATTTAAAAAATGAAAAATAAAGATAAGGCAATGTATAAAGTTAAAATATTCAAAATTTCACTTTGCATATGTTGCCTTCAAGTACCTTTCCATAACTCCAAATATTTTCTTCTATTGTTTTAATAAGTGTTTTGTTGATGCATAGTATTAAAAAAAATACACACATCCGAAGTGTGAAGGTTCATCAAACAGTACAAAGGGAGCACATCCATTTAGACAGCACCCAGAGAAGAAAAAACATTACCAGAACTGCAAAAGCATCCATTTACATCATCCCCAAGGGTAGCTATTATACTGACTTAAATACAAATGGAGTTGTAAAATTTATCCTTGCTGCGAGTAGTTCTAGTTCCATTGTATGAAAAAACTATAGTTTCCTGTTCTGTCGATGTACATTTTGGTTGTTTCCTCTTCAGGCTTATAATAAATAGTGTTATGGAAATTCTTGTACATGACTTTTGGTGCATACATATAGGCATTTCTATTGAGTGTGCATCTAAGATTGGAATTGCTGGGTTACAGGATGTGCATAAGTTCAAATTGCCCAGGTGATTGAACTAATTTACGTTCCTTCCAGCAATGTATCAGACTTCCAATTGCCCTATGTCCACAGTCAGAATTTTCATTTTTTGGAGGGATTGAGCAAAAAGAAAAAAGGACTCATGTATATGGACAACAGTGTGGTGATTGGTGGTGGAGGAGGGGCCGGTATAAGGGTACTAAATGGTAATGGAAAAAATACAATAAAGATTAAATTCAGAATTTTCATGTTAGAGACTTTGGGTGTGAGTACTATTGCACTATAATTTTTAAAAATTGTGTCCCTGGTTGTGTGGCTCAGTTGATTAGAACATCATCCTGATATGCCAAGATGGAGGGTTCAGTCTCCCATTAGGGCACATAAAAGAAGTAACCAAAGCCCTGGCTGGCGTAGCTCAGTGGATTGAGCACGGGGCTGCGAACCAAAGCATCGCAGGTTCGATTCCCAGTCAGGGCACATGCCTGGGTTGCAGGCCATGGCCCCCAGCAACCGCACATTGATTTCTCTCTCTCTCTCTCTCTCTCTCCCTCTCTCCCTCCCTTCCCTCTCTAAAAATAAATAAATAAATAATCTTAAAAAAAAAAAAGAAGTAACCAACTACCCTGGATGGTGTGGCTCAGTGGATTGAGCGCAGGCCCACCAACCAAAAGGTCACCAGTTCATTTCCTAGTCAGGGCACATGCCTGGGTTCCAGGTCAGGTCCCCAGTTAGGGGTGTGCCAGACGGATCCAATTGATGTTTCTCTCTCCTTCCCTTGCCCTGCCTCTAAAAATACTTTTTTTTAAAAAAAGAACCAATAAATACATAAATAAGTGGAACAAATAAAATCAATGTTTCTCTTTCTGTCTCTGTCT